TTAAGATCTTGAACCAAGGTTTGAGTTATAGTTTCCGTGCAAAAGAATCTAAAAGTGGGTCTAAGCTTACTTTTTCTGATAACTTAATTAAATGCAGCCTTTTATGTTCTCATGTGCCATTTCTCATTATTATGTATCTGTTAGCTTGTATTCCAATCTCTTCAGTTAAAGTCATGGTTAGATTACTATGGCTAAATGTTTTCAGCTTGTAATCAGTGGGGCAGTGTCCGGAATAATAACATTGAAAGGTGTGCTCCGTGTCCTGTCAATGCAAGCGCATTGTCAGGACCAGTTTGACAAAGTTTCATTTCTTTAGAACCTAAGGTGTAGGAATAGACCTAAGGATCTGATGGCATCAGTTGTACGCGGTAAAAACAAGCATTCATTTTGTTTCCTTGCTTCTCGATGCCAATTCTTGTGCATTCTCACGTTATACAAGTTGCTAACCTAAAAGATTGCTTAGGCATTTGTTACTATGTATATACATTATTTTCCATTCTAGGTATTGACAATTGAGCCGGGATACTATCTTACTGGCAAGTACGGGATCCGACTAGAAAACGTGGTTCTAGTGGTGGACAGTCCGCAGCCCTCACGGGACACCGCTACGCCCTTCCTGAGCTTTGAGGCCCTCACTCTAGTTCCCTTTCAGCGCCGCCTCATCAACGCAGCGATGCTGGACAAGGAAGCAATAAAATGGGTTGATAGCTACCACGCCAAGGTGCGCGAACACCTCCTCACTCGGGTGGCATTTGAGGCAGAGCACAAAGGTCTCAGCGTCGCTCGGGAACGTACTCGCAATTGGATCCTCCGGGAGACTGAACCTCTTTGCGTCTCGTCAACTTCAAGCTTCAAGTTAACGTCATCAAAATTGTTTTGTTAAATCTTTGTTTTGTCCTGCTCTGGAATTACTTTTTACTCTAGTTGCTATTCATTGATTTGTTAGTCTTGTGGGAAATGCTATCTAAAGTAATTTTGTAAAACTTGCGCGTCTTATCATTGATTGCTTCAGCTTCCGTTTACGCTCTGATGAGACTGGACGCAACATCCAGGCTCTAACTATATGGTGATACAGATGTGTTTGTTAATTGCATAATGGGAATCTGGTTTGTTAATGGTGCGAATTGAATTCGTATCCTGGGATCGTGGAATCTACGCACAATTTGTTTACGAAACCGTCATCTGCGGTGTAACCATGCACAGATGGAGTCTTCGAGGAAGGATATGTCATAGTTGAGAAAGTGGGTTCCTCGAAGCCATTCACACATTGCTGTTTACTTAAGTCATTTCCCATCGTGCGAATGGCAACAGAGGTGAAGATGTATGTTATCTGGCTACCGTTGGGAGTACTTATTACTTGCGTTTGGGACAGATGTTTTTGGACTGGACTTGCAGGAAACCTATGACTCATTCGTGACCTGTTGGTAGTAATTTTGTAAATGCATTTGATGCCTCCTCAAGCCATGGATTCTTGGACTTGGTCAAGCACCACCAGGTGTTGCACATAGAAATATTGCGGGTAGAAGCATTGCTTCATCGTTGAAGGAGCGTGGTATAGTCGAAAACCAGGTTGCATAATTTTCATCCACACTCCCTCAGATGGACACGCAGAACTATCCAAACTGAGTCTATTTTATTCTCAAACTAAAGCTACAGAATCCCAGGTATGGAAGATTGAGTCATTTTTAGCGCACGTTTGTTGTATTTACGCCCTCAACTTTAAGCTGGCCTTTGAAATCACGATCGTTTGTTTACCACCGGGTCAAACGTTTCTCAGGAAAGACAAGTTGCATGTAAGATTTCATGATGGGCATGCATCGACCAGGTGCTGTGCGCTGCTAACCACCGCGGAAGTTACATAAAAGTTAGAACAAGCAAAGTGGCTCACTGATGGGCGGGCGTTACCACAAGCTTTCATTGGTTCATGGCACGTATGCTGGCACTTAACAATGGAACGTAGTATGTGTATTGCTGCATCCTGTAAAATTGCGATCCCCTGTTTAGCTTGGCTGGGATATTAGATATTACCAGTAAGGAGTAATGAATTAACTACTTTCATTTAGGCTACAAAAATTACAGATGAAGAGCTCGGTGGCTATCTGGTGCATTGTTCGAAACATGGTCCCTTCTACAGACTATGCGGTATTAAATGTTTCTTGCGATGTGAAATGTTTGCACCGTATATGAGCGAATAAGTAGGTTTTGATGAGCAAAATACGAACCTTCAAAGGTTTTAATTGATATCCCGAAATGTTGCGTCCTACAACAATGGGCTGCGTCTCTATCGTGTAAATTTGCAGTGAACGCATTCATGTGATAGCCTGGTTGCACTGATTCTCTTCGAGAAAAAATACTTTCATTAAGCTTCTATAAAGCCTGAGCAACTTTTGGACTCGTGCCACTGGAAAATTAGCTGCGCTTTCGTGGTGCACACCTGTAGCCGCGGAAGACATCATCAAGCTGTCCAAATTGCCAACCTGTGCGTACGCAGCACACGCACAAAAGCGGCACAGATGTTTAATTGGTCAAACACCCATCAGCCAATAGCATCCGAGTTTGGTAACTTCAATGCTTATTGCATTTATGGCAGAGCAAAGCAAGTTGACTCAAAGTAGACCCCAATGGCTCCAAATCTAGATGAAAAGCCTAGTTCTGCAACCGAAGTTGGGCACTTTACACAAAATATGTGTCAAGAAAGAAGGAAACTGTACATTTTCGGGTATGGCTCTCTTATCTGGTGGCCAAATATATCATACACAAGAAGTTGGTTTGGTTACATAAAAGGCTATAAAAGACGCTTCTACCAGGGAACAACAACACACCGTGGCACACAACAAAATGTAAATGTGCACTCTTTTTTATTTACTTCTGTTGATATTTTAGAACATAATCTTTTAAAAGACGTGGTTTCCACTATTTTTGCATATGGCAATTTTAATGACTGTGAACTCATTTCATGATCAAAAGGGTGCTAGTTTTGGAGGACGTTAAAGATCTTCTCAGTGATGTTTGTGGATATGCTATCTGTCCCATGTAGAAGTAAACAACAGAAACTACTATCACATCATACGAGTGTCAGCGATTAATCCTACTTTCGCTATGATAATGCATTGACTGGCTTAGTTGAATAGCTATGGCTTTCTAAACCAATTCCGACTTAAATCCAGACCCGATTTTTTGTGCACTTACTCAAAATTTTCACGAATTGTGTCGCCTTCGTTGGCAATTTTTTACGTTCACGCATCCATTGCCAGTTCAATAAGTTCAAAATTGCCACTTTTTTATAATCGATCAGAGTTACGGAGCGGCTCTGTAAATCACAAATCAGAAGCAGTGCGGCAAGTTTTTTTGAGATGTGCATTAGCTTATCATGGGGTTGTAGGGAATTTGAGTTTTCAACGCTCACTTTAAATGTAGCCTGGTAGGGTGTTGACCCTCCTACCCTCAAAGAACGAGGAAGCAAGGGTTTGGGGCAAGGCTTACGAGGTGGATGGAGCTATACAGATCAACTCTGCGATCGACAGTTTGGCCGAGCGTGAAATGATCTTGGGCGGTTACAGCTTAAAAGAAGTGCCATTTTTTCCTCATAGAGTTGTTTATGAAAACGCTAAAGACCAGCAAGATTATCAAGCTTCTGGGTTTATGAGGGTATTTGTCTACATTGCAAAACCCGGCAATGATCAATACCTTGGAAAGGCTCCTCTTGAAGTACAGGTTAGTCGGGTGGATGGTGAGGTCAAATGGAACTCGCGTTTGCATTGCTGATACTTAAATTATTGTTTAGCTTGATCTGGGTTAATTCTGACTTGTGCAAATTAGGTGATTGGGAGCCAGATTAAGAAGGTAGTCAGTCGTCAACTTGAGCTTAGGACCGAATAATGTAAGCAGTTTTAACTTATGCGATGAAAATTGGCATCACAAAGCCATTATCTTATAAACTTGGATACCCATTTATCATCTGTGTTTGTCATGTTTCTCTTCCTAAAATACGATGCTGGGAATCGCCTTAAAATGCCTTCTAGGCGTACCAAATTGCCACAGCAATGGGCCACTGTGGTCGTAATGTGGAATACCTTCAAAAACTGGTAGATTTTATAAACGCCGATGTACCCAAGAATGACATTCATAATGACCAGTATATCCTTGACTTGTGGGAACTTGTAAAGGAGTACTTGAATCATGCTGAATCATCACAAGATGCCAATACTTCCAATGGGCTCATGAAACCAACCACTGCAAACGTCATCTCCTCCTGACTTCTATACTGTCTTTGTTCATTCTCTTTCATTCCATTTTCTTTTAATCACAACCCCTCTTACTTTTGTTTCGTCTTTTTTCCCCTTCAATTCCATCAGAATACGTGGAGTTATGCCCACAGTTTCGCAAAAAAAACCATAGAACTTACGTAACGCAGTTTTAAGATTCATTCCATAGCCTAAACTTGGCTTAGCAGGGTATAGCAAGTGTGTGCCATAAGTTGAAATTAAAGTCGTTCCGACGCTCCTACTTTGAATGACTTCAGTAGAATAATGAACTTTTAAATTTCGGCATATGGGAGGACTCAGTTTCTTTTATGTAGTCACTCAATCGAAAAATGTGGAAGACAGGTTCAAAATTTCAGGTGATTCTTGCAGGACAACTATTAAAACCTCCCTAAAACTCCCTTAGAGTTGTATTATTTTTCCGCACAGCATAAGAAATTTGAAGTATGCTTTGGTTAAACAAATTTCATGTGGCATGGCAGCTACATCCATTATCAGTGCATGCAAGTGCTTGACAGATGGGTTGTCCATTATACTTTGCCCACTAAAACAGATCAAATTAATAGACTTGAATATCGCTTACGTGGGTTGAGGGAACTCACATGGCAAATTTGATCAACTGAAGACCTTTTTGCATGAAGACAGAAAAGTAGTTTGAACTGCCTTGAGATAATTTTTAGACAGTCTGACAATCGAAAAGAATTTACAAAAATGGGTGTCAATGGGTTGCCTTAGAAACGAACTACTAACCTTGCAGAGTCATCAGATGGGAAGTACTAGATTGGTTTGCACAGAGGTTTGCTAAGCTGTTCTCAACCGCCGTGCACCAATTGGTTCAAAACCCCAAGAATCCTTCGGCCCACTAAACACACCCAACAACAAATCGTAGTCGATTTCAAGTGTGCACCTGTAGTGGTATAGAGAGGTGCTGCACGCAGATCAAGCTCGCTACAAGGATTGGACTTCACATTCTCCAAGGCTTCACTTCAATTAGCTGTGCGTAACCACAAGTTGTGCTTTAGGCATCAAGCAGGTGGGCTAACCACATCTGCAAGACGATGGAGCAACAGAACGCCTCTGAAGCAAGTGTAAACCTTTTGCTTTAAGTCAAAAAATCACCATAAGCATATCCTTTTGTTTCACAAAGGTTTATTTTATTTTGAACAAGCTCATCCAAATTTTTATTTTTTTACGAGCTTCTGAGAAGTTCAAATCACATTGGTTCAACCGCTTAACTCTACTAAACGACACCAAAGAAGCCTCGTCTTTTTAACAAGTTGTCGAAAATCTCACAAGGATGCACATAAGATTCTGCGATACTTTCGCTGACAAAAAGTACTTTTCCTGTTCTTATGAAAGGGCAGGATGTAACACGAGATCTCGAAATTATGTTACGTTATCAAGGATAGTGACAATAATGTAGTTGGAGCAGGCACTAATCACAGACTAGAAACGGAAGCAGAGACCACTGCGTACGTGCTCCGTATTAGCTTAAGCATGTGTGGTAAGACGTAAACAGGAAAATGGAGTATGGAGAACATAAAAACTTGCACAAAATTCGCTGCGAGCAGCCCGCAGAAACCTGCTCCGGGTTTGAGAAAGGAAGCGACTTAGCGTTGTGCAGTAAACCCTCTTTCAGAGTAAATGGAAACGCCATGCATCATCCAATGGTTGTAAGGCGCCAAAATGGTACTACGAATTGCAATTGGAATTGCATTTTTCAGATATGTTTAAAACGGAGTATTTTTGACGGATTTAACCGCTCGGCTCATGGACACGGTATAGCGTCCATGGATGGATCCACATATTCAATAAATATTTACCTTCTTTTCAAAAAAACCGGAATCGCAATGCTTTAAGTTACATGGAGAGTCAAAAATGATTCAGGCCATAGATGTTTTCAACATTTTCATTGAGGTTAAGGGGAGGGGGGGAAAGAAACGAAACAGGCGAGTGACTACAAGCGTAAAATCGGTAACAATGCAGCTTTCCAAGCGAAAAACAGAGGCCATGAGAGCTATATCCGCTAGAATACGCTTCTCTACATGTGTATAATGAGTTAAGGTGTTTATTTATTTAAAGAGATTTATGTTGTAAAGAGTCGAAGACTTACAAGTTGATTAAGAGATCAACTGTATGCCTTGCTCAACCAGTTTTTCATGATTAAAGTAATAATAGCTGGGAAGTTTAGATTACGGGGCAAAATCATGAGAATATATCTGAAAACAAGGATGAAAAGTCGGCGCAAAGTCAAGTGCAGTAGGGTGGTTACTGTTGCATGCACCAAGAAGAAGCTAATTGAGCGTCCCATTAATAAAGGTCATGCCTGTGGACAAGTGTTCCCACAATTTTTAGGGCTACGGATAACGGAAATAGACAAATAGATGAATATCCAGTTTGCAATCCCTATGCACAGCGCCTCTAGCCGTGTAAGACTGAATGGTCATTTATCTGGCGAACTTCCTCTTCACAAAATACGATTTTAATGAGTTTAACTGGGATATTCTCTACAATTTGCTTGAACCAAATTCGCTTAGCATTGGTTCGTTCTGGTGGCATACGCTAACAACGCAGAGGACACATGCGTGCAGCCATGCGTCACCGAATTAAGACGTGAACCTTCGGTGGCCAATGGGGTGTTAGAGAGCGCAATTATCAATTTGATTGGTTTACAATCTATCCACGACTAGTCTGCTGCATTTTTAACCTGTGACACGTGCTTGTTTGGCGGAAAGGTGGGTTCTGGTGGATGCGTTGCTGTAATAATTGCTCCTATTCTTTGGCATCTCCATTTGCTTTCAATAGTTATTGCATCAGTCTAAGTGCAAGCACGTAGAAGGTTTTAGTGCATTCTGGCATTGTGAGCGCAGATTCTTTTAGCTTGTCAGGCGGCAAACCATTTTATGGCACTGAAAAATTCCATTTGACAATTTAAAATTCCGAGTGAGTTTTTTTTCATCCAAATGCATGGATCTTTTATAAATGTTGAGAAGCATGCCGCTATTCATGGCCATCGTAAATGTTTTTCATGCACTCGAAACATTTTTACAATATAATTTTTTGTTTTGCAATCTACAGAGTTAAAAGTTGCAAGGCTATTCAAGTGGAGGAAACACGGTAAGTCTCATTTTAGTCCTCGTAACTGTCCTTAATGTATGCAGAATAAGCGAATCGATTCCACCGAAGTCAAAATTGTTTTGTTCTAACAGAATTTTTTGTGTACGCATTTGTCCGAGTTTGAGGCAATCTAGAAAGTAGCATGGCCTAACTGTGATATGGATTTGTGTATCATGTATTGAAAAGCTCCCCTAGGGAGATGTACTTTAGCCTTTTCCGAGTCCTTGTAATGTGACGTAGGCAATGCGACAGCACCTAAATGTGCGGACAGAGGCGGCATAGACTGACTCGTGGTCTTCGTGAATAATTCATTGGCTGTCCATCTGCTTCTTCACCTTAAAGCTTAGAGTCCGCGTTACTGCTTCTTCATGGAGAGACCCGACTTGGTGGATAGTCGAGTTTAACGACTTTATTCCATCCTCGCGCTTTCATTAACAATCCGTCATACGAAAAGCCTTTTAATTATCAGACGCCCAAACACTGTATTATCGGACTTTAACAATTTCAAAATGGGTTTATGAGGAATTTAATCGAGGCTAGGAAGTGAAATTGGCACTTCCGTTGGCCTTTAGTTTTAGTTTTGATAGCCCATAGAGTTATCAGTCTAGGTGTTGCGTTGTTTTATTTAGTTTAGGCACATATTTCTCAGGACACCACGATCAAAATGCTTTAACAGTTTTCGCATCTCACTGGATGTAAAAGTATCGTTTGCCTTTATTTCGTCCATTTATTTTGAATTGACTTGCTTGCAACCAATGTCCTTTAAAGGTTGTTGTCTTCACTTACTGTATGCCTAATTCCGTCTTCCTTGCTTTTGGGATTTTTTCATATGATGTGGACATAAACCGGTCATCCCGCCATTCACACTCAACATGGATACATTGATCACGAAATGTTGAACCAGTATTGATGTATGGCACATTGGTCTTGGAGCATCTAGTACTTCAGTTAATTACATACTCATCTCTAGCTATCACTTTCCGTCGCCTAGGTCCATAACGCCATGTAAAGGTAGACGAGTAACTTCTGCAGTTCACGGAACTGAGTTTGCTTTGGGGTCACTCAAGCGCATCCATTATTCTCTGTCAGTGCTCCATGATGGGGAATTTCAAAATGAAAATACTATAGTGCAACGGAGTACGGCATGGATAATGCATTAGGACGTGCCTAGGAAGGTGAAATTTTGTGAAACTAAAGCCCTTACTAAGTGCGTCTCACGGGCCTTCCGGGAGTTGTTTCACTTAATCCGCACGTATGATTGATTGGAGGATGATTTATAGAGTGCTACCTTTACTCACACACCCTGATTCTAGTTAAATAAGCTTTCAGCTTTAAATGTTAAAAAAATAACATGGAAGATGCGAGCGTTGCCTATCCAATGTGATTAGCCTTCCAATTGATGTTCAAGATGCATTGGAGAAGTAGCAAATGCTTAAATTGAGGAAGTGGGGAATCAGAAAAAATGAAAGACAGTTGTTACTTTTAGACCAACATAGGATGGACGAAGAGGAGTTGTTTCAGTCACTACATGAAATGTTCGATGAAGAGCAGGCAGCTCTTACGGGCAAGACGTGCATTTCATTTGATATGTGGGGCTCTTGTACACCTCGAAACATATGCAAGAAAATTCGTCGTACAGCATACTTAAAACCTTTGCATCGAGAGCTTGTGCGTCAATTTCTCGGCATATGTATGGGTGCTGGTGTAGAGGTTTTCGTCTACGGCGGGACGGCCTTGGGTGTACTGCGTGAAGGTGGACGAATGATTGCCTTCGACTACGATACCGACTTTGCCACACTCGAATATCCATGGGGGAGTGAGCTGTCCTCCGAGGGAACACTCTCTCGTTTGGCTAACTTTTGTCTTCGTGAACAGAGCGGCGTCAGAGTGGTCAATGTTGAAGGCCTTCAATCTGAACTCCTCTTTGATGCAACTATTGAAGTGGATTTCCAAAATTCCCTTTCCTCCGCTCCCTGGCTTTTCGTGAATTCCGAGGGGCGTGTCTGCGAGCGATCCTATACGGGTTCAGGCTCCAAGCGTGCCAAATTCTACTTCACTTCTCATGGCTTACGAGAGGCTACCGAGAGAGTGGGGCGGGTGAAGTCGTCTGTAGTCCAGAGGCTTAATAATGACGTCACCGAAATCCACGTAGACTTGTTCACGCTTTCGCCGCATCCTGACTCACCTCAAAGTCATCTTCGAGTGAACTGGCACAAGGAAGGCCTCTATGATTCGATTAGCAAAAAATTCTCATACAGCTTATTCTTTCCTCTGAAAAGAGTTACTTTTGAAGGATTAGACGTTTTGGCTCCCTCTAATTTGGAAGGGTATCTCACAGAAGAGTACGGCTACCTGGGCAGGGATGCTATGTATGACTCGACCCGACAGCGCTATATGAAAATACCTGAACACTTGCGTGATTCTCTACCTCCCTATTATAAGAAGTACCTATTGGAGTCCCCTTTTGATACACCATTGTCGTGAACTTCATGCAGGAAATTTCTTTTTTCGTCTCAAAAGGCCTGCATTTTACCTATTCACTGGAACATTTAAAGTACATCGTTTAAAAGTGAACGCATAAAACAGTTTGTTGCAGACGCAATTTCCATCGTACGAGACTGCTCGACTCTTTTTGTCAATTAAGTATTGAAACGTCGGAGGGAGGAGTCGGTTGAAATACTGCCTTCATCCTCGAATTCAGGCAGTTCAGCAAAGGTGGCTCTAAGTACGTTATAGGAGGTGATCACATTTTTGCGGCATTCACCGCTTATGATGGCGTGCCTGCGAAGAAATCCAGCGCCGGGAGTGTCTTTCATAGCGATCAGCAGAACACATCCGAGCTTTTTGCAAAGCATAGCATCGCATGTCTTACGCCAGTAATCATACTTTACCATGTCGCGTGAATCAAAGTTGAAAGATAGCTGATAGTAGGTCACCATTGTGGATAGGAGACCAACTGAGAGGTCTTCAGTAGTTTGGTATTTTCTCAGTCGGATCATGCGAACAGCTGCTACTGCGTCATATAGGTTTGAACATGCATAGAGGTTGGGAAAGGTATCATCAATCCGTCTCAAGCAAAGCTCTAATTCTCTCCTGCTGTGTGCATGTACCAAGACGGCTCGCCGCTTCTGACCCTTACGAACGCGCGTCTCCCGTGTAAGGCATATACGAGAATTACACGTTTTTTGGATTGAAGCAATCCTTCTGTCATCTTCCTTTAGGAATGGCTTCAAGGTATTTGTGTCGTCAGATATGTAGAATCTATACCCGCATAAGGCTTCCTGATGTTCCTGCTTCATCCCGGCTAGGAGTTAAATTTTGCATTTATGAATGCAATAGCTGAAGCCACTGAAGTCGAGCTTCCATATAAATTTAAAACTCCCCGATCAATGGTTTTCAAATTTATTTTAAGTTCAAGTACACCTCATGATGACAAGTTTTTGAGAGCCATTGGAGTCTTGTTGTTGTTTCAACGCTTTTTCGTACGGCGTCTATTCGCAGAAGAAACCGTTCATGAATCTGTTTATCGTTGCGTAGACGTGCTACCAAAACTCTTAAAAGAGGATTACTTTTGGAGACGAGATTCATTTCCTTGCCTTATAAACTTCAGGGATCTCTATGTTATACCTTCCGTCAAAATATTACAATTTCAGATCATTGGAGATCTTTGATGTGATATAGAATTCAACACATTTCAGAAGGATAGTCGATCTAACCGATCTAACCGAACACAAACAGAAAACCCACGAGGCCGGCGGGGGGAGGGGAGCGTGAACGAGATGAAGAAAGCTAATTACGATGACTCCTTATCGTGAGAACAGAGTTAGCTGAATAAAAATTAATGAAAGCCAAACGTTTACTTTATTTTTCAGCTAAAATTTTTTAGACCCGTGTCATTTACGACAACGAACGGACTAATTGACGCCTTAGAGATCAGTCCCTAAAGTCAGCGCGTCTCATTGACAGGCAGAATTGCGCTTATTAAAGTTCACTTGATCGCTGTAAAACCATTTTAGTGCAACTGTCTGATGTCTGGCGGTTACTTTGGTTTTCGTCTGGTCCTTGTATTCATGACCTGCCCATCGAGCCAATTCAAAGCTCTCTTTCTTTTTTACCCTTTACAATACATGTATTCAGCCAAACTTAATGCCTTCTTCCACCCGGTGGGAAGCCTCGAGCACTACATTAGTGGCAGAGGATAGCGAACCCAACAATTTAACCAAGTTCAACCTAGTATCTACCGTTTGTGACATGTGCCTATATTGCGAAGAAAGCACACATACTTCGAGCGGGAGAATCCTCAAATCCTCGACAATAGAATGGGTAAGAATGATGTCTGTGCTTAGTTCCGCCTTGTCCTTGCGTCACACGAGCAAGTTATTAACAAGTGTAGCGACACCAGAATTCTCCATATTGCATCTGAGTATCGATGTCGGAAATGTCAATTTTGTGGACCCCTTACATACGGGATTGTGTTCGATCCTGTTTTTTGTTTGATAAACGTCTGTTCTAGACCTCTGGTCCAACGTCTATTTCTAAAAGCAATTTATAATCAACAGATGAATGCGACCGTGATTCGAGCTGTCAGACCAAACGCAAATCCAGATCCAATTATAGCTGCTGAGGAGGCCAAGCACCATTGCTCAGTGTTATGGTAGCTGAAGACTGGCGCGGGTGGATTGTGGGAGTTTCCTTGTGCCACCGGATATGTTGTTCTGGCTGGCGCGGTAGACGTACCAAGGAGGGCGTCGAGAAGAAGAGGGACAGTGTAATACTTTGATTATGTTGTAACACATACCAGTGTTTAAGTTGGCCTTTATAGGAGAACGCGAATTTATTGCGCGAGGACCGTGAGGAATCACTCTCCGGGTGATATCTGCTATTCGGCTCATCTGTACTCCTATCCCCGTTCTTCCTGTAATCAATGTCTAATAAGACTACAACAACTAAACCTCTCTTTAAGTCTGCGGTTCAATAGCAGTTCCTACATATGTGGCAAGCTAATGTCTGGCAGTTGCTTTGGCTTTCGGGCTATACCAAAGCTTAATTCCATTCTCATCTTCCGCAAATATATGTACTAGCCGAGCATAATGTAATGCTTTGTTTATGTGACTACCGAAGGTCTTGCGGACTTTAGGATTTGTCTGGCCCTTGTACACGTGGGGTGGCCTTTGGGCCACTCTCAGGCCCATTTGTCCTGTCGTCTTCAGAATACATATACCCAGCTGTGCTTACTGACTTCTTATACCGGCCAGGAGGTGTCGGAACGCTACACTGGTGGCAGCGGAAAGCGAACCCGACACTTTTTAACGACTTTTAGCCGATGTGGGGTCTCTCTCTGCGGCTTGCTCTTTGTTGGTCGTTTGTTAACTCGACGTAGTGTCCGGGAAAATCTATTGCCTTACTGGCATACTACGTTTGTGTTGCTGAACTTTGCCAATTAATCAACTGATTTCCGGAAAAGAACCGTACGAGCAAGCCGACAAGGAATGGTTTGATCGGATGATACATTGGTTCAATACATGCAGATATCCTAAAATCGGGTTCCCTTGGCCGGAAAGTCGAAACCTCTCTTTTCAAGACAAGAACATTATAATCCAACCAACAGATAAGACTGAAAATGAGTTCTACTTTTTAGTCGAAAAACCCAAGATCAATCTTGAGCTATACATTCGTAGAAGGAAGTCTGACTATCGAAGTGCAGTAGATGAAGATACAGGCAAAAAGGAACGTGAATTGAAAGAGGCGAATTTACCTTGACGATGGAGAATCCCTGAATCCTTCACAACGAAAGGATTTAGGCGGACGTCTGCATTTGTTTTCACCTTATTCCACTATCAACAACTGAAGCGACACTGCCGTGAAATATCAGGAAGAGTTTCGAGTTGGAATTTACCATATAAATTCCGTTTTTGGGTGTCGGAAATGACACAACGCTTCTCCTCACCCACGGGGCAGTGGCTCATCCCATCTTCTCTGTAACATATATGTTTTAAACCAGAGTTCCACTGTCTATTCCTGGAAGCAATTGATGGTCAATAGGTTGTCAGACCGAACGTAACAACGGATTCAATTGAAGCGGCCGAGGAGACCAGGTACATTTCCTCAGTCTCGTGTTGTCCGTCAACTGGCGCGGTTGGCTCATGGGTACTTTCATATAGTACCGAATATGTTGTGATAGCTGGTGCGGGAGGTGTACCAAAGGGGAGCGCCGAGGACGTCGCTCAAAAGAAGAAAGAGGCAGTGTAATGCTTTGTTTATGTAACTACTTGACGTTTGACGGTCATTTTAGGCCTTCCGGCCACGCTCAGGCCCTATTTACCCTGTCTTCTTCGGAATACATGTATCCAGCTGCTCTTACTGACTTCTTATACCAGTCTGGAGGTCTCGGGACGCTGCACATAATACCAACTCCTACGTAATACAAAGCATTTGGATGAACAAAGAATATACAACTTTAGCTATGAATCGGACGCAAATTAATTTGTACTAGATATTGTGGAATTGTCGCTGAGTTTACTATACACAGATGCATTCGTAATCCTAAACTTAACCCTTTACGACTGCCTACTTTATTTTTTATGTTCACATTATCTATAAGGTTACTGACATAGCCTACGCAAAATTAGCTGCATTTCGAATTGTTTAAGTTTTTCAACTTTGGTATGCCTATGTTTGGATACTTTTCAAGCTTGCTGGACTATTTGACACAATCGGGTCAATTGTGAAGTAAAACAAGCAATTGTCAAAGGCTGAGTACAAAATCAATCTCCACCCTCACGAATTTGCAAGAGAGAGCGCAGTATCGATGTCAGTTCAAGACTCGACATCCGTTCTTCTTGATTTATTTTACTATGTTGGCCTAGGGTACAAAGCAGGTACCTTTGGGCATTTCAACCTAAACTCTAGCTTTGTGGATGAGAATTTCCTACGAGCGCTTTACTCGTTTATTCAGCAACTAAACTATGGACATCCACAGTTTGAAATGGAGGAGTCCGTAAATCTCAAAAGTTTGGACTACATTTTCTTTATAAATAAATTTTTGATTTCTCGTCTATCTCCAATCTATATTTGTCGTGTTAAAGAATTCGATGCAGGCTTGAATGTCGTACTATTAGCCTGGTGTTTAACTGACAGTAATATCGCATACATGCCAGAACGTGCTCTTCCTAGTTTTCTTTTTGATCCTCCTGAAGAAGATGTTGCATTACCTCAAAATTTGTGTAAACCAGTCAGGAATTTGAAAATGTCACTCTTAAATATATCCGGAGTCATATCTGCTATTTCTATCAAGGAAGCCGAGGTATACTCTCTCTTTAAAACATTGATGATGCAAAATCGTCGTTTTTTTGATGAGAAATTTTCGCAATTAACTGTCCCCATGCAGCGGAATATTACTGTATCAGAGTTAATTTACATTTTCGACAATCACAAATATTCAAGAACTGCAGCTGTAAAGAAAGCTAAGCAACTTCTTGACCTTCTCTCTAAATGGAATCGGAATTCTGCGGCCTTCTACCGACTGCTGAGACTCTCCTCCGAGTTTTCTTGCGAAACCAACTCTACTTCGACTCTTTCGAATGATAGTTTGATCGATTCCTATGGTGATCTTGAAGACTTTCGTTCGATTCTTGTGCAGTGCGCTCCGAATTTAGATTCTGTAACAACTGCAGCATTTAACAGGAGCCATTCAACGTTGCATGAAGAATTCAAACGGCGTCTTGATTTCGTAGCTGACCGCATGAAGTCCACATTATATTCAGTCCTCCCCATGGAAACTCACTCCGTGATGTCAAGCGATTCGTCGAGCTTACCGTGCTTTAGCTCAAGAACAGAAAAACAAATCCTTCAATCCTTGGTTTCATCATTGAACAATCTCCACTACACCAGAAGAGAACGGATACACTCGCGTTTAATGAATTCGTATCGTGATATCGTCCCATCTGTTTCTTGTTTGCATAAACCTGCTTTAAAAAAGCTCTGCTGTAAAAATATGTCATGTGCATAAATGTTATCCTGATCGAGCAGGTCTCTTTTTCATCAAACTTTCCTGTGAATTAAATACCCTAGCGCATGCGCATTTTACTGTTTAAGATGCCCGAGAAGGAGAGCGTCTGGATAAGAGAATCGTTTTTGGGATATTCCAGTCCTGAATTACTCCAACTTGCATCATACTTGGCTCAACACGACGTTGCCTTCAATAACCTTCCCCAGTATCCAACTGAGGACTCTGGGGACCAAGACACAGATTCCATCAACGTGCACGCTGTTTGATTAGCATTTGTTAAAACAGACTTACTGATTCTCAACGTTTTAGGAGGCAGAACCGAAAATCAAGCCAAAAAACCGTAGAGGAATGGCAAATCCACTTCCCAGAACTTATTCTCCACCTGTCAGGAACATAAACTTTGCTTATTCCCGGCACAAACCTCTCCATGCTCCAACAGAACGCCAGCTAAATGCTGCGAAAGTAAGTTAATTGAATTAACTTCCATTTTAATTTAGGCATCACATTTGAGGCAGCTCATAAACAAGTCGAAAGCTGCTTTGCTAAACTTAGATTCGGAGATATCGGCGAAGAGATTTGACTTCAATTTGCAAATGCTGCCCACTGGAAGTGGGGTGTCTGTACGTTACCATCTTCCAAGGAGGAGAACTGTTAGACCCAGTGGAGTTCTGAAGCCATGCGTCAGAATCCTCGGTGAAAAAAGAGCTTGGAAGGAGAAACGATCTGCGTTGAAGCGTTGGGTTGGTGAAACAGCCAGCACCTGTCACAAGGCACGGTAGCCACATCGGGCTTATTTTTTTAATTTTTATGCCTAGACAACCGACCGCTCTATAATGTCTGGAACTCACGACACAAATCTTCTCTCGTCGTACCTGAAACGCCTCGCACTAGGCGGCAACTTCGAGGGTCAGGTTGACGGTTTGCAAAGATCATATCGGTCTCCGTCCTTCAAATCAGGTCGAGGTTCGTATACCAAGCACTTTAGATGTTAAATACATTAGCACACTTTATCGGTTCATAAAGTTGGAGAAGCAATGTTCTCATTTAAAATAATGGCAAAGTCGTGACGAAACATTCTAATTTGTACGTTCTTTACAGTTTTGCTATTGTTTTCCCATCTAAATCGCCGAGTGTAGACGCCGATCTTGGCTTAAAACCACAACGTCAACAAAAATGTCCGCCTCAGCTGGTAGCTTTCCTTGAAAAGTGGAGAGATATATTGATGATCCATAGCGTTAATGAAGATGGAGGAGCTTCTATGCCTCCCCTAAGTGGCCATTCTCACGATTCACCTTCGGATTCTTCGTCTACATCAACGTAAGTCGATTCGGGGCCGGATGATTGTCAGTCATCCAGTTACGAAATAAGTCTTTGAGATTCGATATAGAAATGTGAAAGTTGGACGGTTAAACTTTTTAATTATCCTTTTTTAAGTATCGGGAGAAAATTTTTTCAGCGATTCTATTGAAAATTTCATAAGAAATCACTCGAAGCAGAAGGTGCTCTCCCAAAATCCAACGCCAATGGCCACAGAAGTTGAACTAAATTATCACAATTCTCCGAAATCATGTCATTTCGAGAACCTCCCAAGGAAGCAGAGCAGTCCAATGGTTAGTTTGCTTGCGCATTACGGCACTTTTAAATAAATGCGTTCACTCTTGAGTATCAAAAGCTACAATGAGGCTGGTGAAAGCTATTCTGAATTATCAATGAATGTGCTTTTCATCACACCAACCTCACATGATGACGTCAACCTAATTATGTTTAGGTTAAAATTCCGCTACCAGGAAAGCGTCTGAAAACTTCCACTTACCAGACGCTTCGATTGCCAGTTGAGCAGTATCGACAGTTGCTGACACAGAGCAAGACTGTAGAGATCCTACACGAGGAGCGCTGGAAAGGAATTGCTTTTCCATCTAACACTACTTCCCTTTCGAGCCTCTGCGACTGGCTGGTTGTAGAGATCGTGGACTCCTGTGTAGAGGCGATCGCCAATCTAGTTGATTGCTTGTCCAACGATATTATTGATGAACTTTTTCGTCACGAACTAGTTACCACTTCTTCTTCACCCTGGGAAAGTTTCAGTGGTCTTGCAGGGTCGCCGCAACCTCGATCGATTCCCAGTTTGCAGTCTTTGATCACGTCTGTCCCCTCTAAAGTACCTGTCAAACTGGATCAACAGAAGATAACCTCTGGCGAGTATGTTCTAAATCAAGATTCAGAGGAGAGGAAAAACTCTACACTAAAATATGGAGATCATTTCACGATAGAATCCACAGGAGTTGCATACGCACAAACATCAGAAGAGAACCGTATTGTAACGCAGGAGGCTTGTACATCGCTCCAACTACCTGCCCATCAGCCCCAAAAGGCACTCAGTCCCATCGAAGAGGTATCCACAGTATCGTTCCCGCCTAATAAAGCTAACCTAAACCAGTCGGGAGCTTGTGACAGCGCTAATAAGCAGTGTTTTAATGGTAGCTTCTCCGCGTACACAGTTTGGAGTACATTAGAAAGTACTTGCATAAATTCACGTTTTCGAAAGAGCAGCAATGTTGCGACATCGTCTCCGGATCTGCACGTATCCGATGAGGAAGTGATTGAGAAAAACGTTACCACTCATTATTCCACCGGAGATTCTCCACGAAAAAAAAAGGAAAGCCTTAGTATTTTAGATGCTCAAGGTCAAACAAGTAGGTCGGCTAAGAAAATCACAATCACTTCCCCAGATGCAAGGAAATCGCCTGACATTTCAACAAGCAGTTCTATCAAAACCTCCTCTATTTCGAGGAAACTTTTTAAACTCAGTGGAGGTCTGAGTAAGAAGAGCAGCTCTGTCCGCATAGATGTTGATCATGCCGACTCATTAGCAGACGCGGAGGTCTTGGCCCCAATAATGACTAATGAGGAAGTACTTTCCAACAAACGCCGAAAAAGCCCAAATCCAGCTCTAGAGTCAACTAGTAGTTTGAAGGAATTTTCGATCGAGCTACAGAGCAAATGCGACCGCGTACCTACAAGTAATAGCCAGGAAGGCTGGGTGTTTCCTCAAAAATTAAGTGAATCGCAAAGGCCTCAGGACGATTGCTCTGTCACGCTGCCCATCACGTCGGAAGGTCTCTCATCTCCCAAATCTGTAAAACTCTACAAAATGCCACGATCGCTTGACTTGCTCTCCCCACTCACTGACACTTCAGTTCCAGATATTTGTACTCCTGATGTCGAAATATCAACGAAATGTGAAACCCTCCAAGTGAAAACCTTGTCTGTAGGCAATATAACCACCTCCGAGGTTGAGAACTGTGCCAACTACGAGGACGATTTTGAATCATCTGAAGACTTAAACCAAGATGAAAAACCCGTGGGATAAACTGATTCGCATTTTAGCTGCTTTTTTCTATATTGCTTTTTGTCATCCTAACGCTTACTTGTGGCGTTATTCTCTTTCATAGGCATTCAAGTGACTTCTTTGACCTGGTTCGTCTGGTATTAAAATCGGGGGAGAGGCATTCCATTTGTCTTAAATTGTGATGGAAAGCCTCTAAGTTGCAGCAAAACAGAACTTGAACAATTGAAAAGGCATAAATTGCTGAACAGCCTTAAATTCCTTTTGGAAACTGTTAATTATAATCACTTGTTCAAATACTACAGAGGGGCATGATTTTCCAGCAGAATTGTGCTCTGCGAAATGGCCATTGCGTTAAAAGTGCACCATAGGACTGCGGAGCTATTGCACCAAGAACCTTGTATTGATCAATCCTCTTGTGAATGCAATGCAAGAAAAATCCAAACAAGCGCAAGCAAATGAATAAGTATCATAGGTCGTCGGATAATCCCTAAATGAGGGAACCGATGCCGCATTTGGCGATAATGTAAATGGAAAAAGAATTGGCAACTGGTGGCAAGTGAGGTTTAATTGAGTTTTCAATAATGAACAGCTAAGAATTTGACAGTAGTAATGATGGTTGTCCGAATAAAGTACATAAAGTGTGCGAAATGATGTATCGCATGCGTTTGTTCATGGAAAGAACATCCAAAGTGTATAAAACGGCCTTCATGAGATGTCAGAAATGGAGAGGTCTCCGTAATTACAAGCAAAGAAAATGCAAGTGCCTAGCAGGTGGGTGGTGGGAGGTCCGGCCACTTCTGCACATCGTCACCGAGAATATGAGGCGAAACGGCGGTGATAACTGTGGAGGAGGAAGCCGAGGTTGTTTGTTGTTGTTGTTGCTGCTGCTGCGAAGTCGAAGTGGTGAGATTGCTTTCCTCATCGACTTCGCCATCAGCCTCTTCCTCTACCACGCCTTCGAATTGGCGGACCGAGCGTAGACTCGCCGGCACTGAGACTCCATGCGCTAGCCCTCGGCCCCGTCCAGTTGCGCCCAGGTAACGATGAGCCGGCTGCTGGTAGCGCAGCTCCTCCTGTAAACCATCACTCGTAAAAGAGCGTTGACGCAGATTAGAGGCCACACACGGGAGTAAAGTAGAAGGCGTTTGGGACAGCCGATGTGCGTTTCGCCGTCTTTGATGAAGATCGTGAATATACAATGAACTGATGTCCATGTCTGCAGTGAATTCTCCATAAGACATACTACCACCGACACTGGGGCTCATATGGCTGACGTTCATCGTATTTTTTTCTTCCATTTGCGACATGTAAGGTTGATAAAGAGCCTGCTGATTGTAGTATAGACTCGAGGCTGCCATTCCAAGAAATGGTATTGAAATAGGAGCAACTAACAGTGAGGCGGGCCTAGATACACCCTGTCTTTCAGTCTGATGCGGGAAGGTGGGAGATGCAACTTCAGCTGGTGTTCCATTTTCAGTGTTTGGTGTCTGTACGTGACCCTTGACCACTGACTCCACTAGAGCACCTGTCACGCCAAAGGAGGGCTGTTCCATGGCAGTTGGCACGTGCGATACATTTTTAGCATGAACTGAAAAATCGGAGGAATAGACTTGATCGGGCTTTTGTTGTGTTGACAATGGGGCAGTCGTTTTGAGGTCTTGCTCAGCGTAAAGTGATGCAAAAAGGGGAGAGGTGGACACAGCCATACCCCGGATGAAATCAGCTTGCACTCGTTGGTGTTGCTGCAAATCATTGAAGACCTGTTTCCTGACGGCACTGAGAAAGGCCTTACTATTAGGTGGAAGGCACCAGGTTGGATTAGTGTGATGAAAATGCATCAAACTTAATTCAGTTTTCCCACCAGCTGCAGGTAGATTTCGGATACCAATGCTATCGTCGGAGTCCCTATCTCCCGAAGAAGGCGAGGAAGGGACTGTGCTAACATTGGGACACCACTCAGGATCACCATGCCGTGGTATGTCTAGTTGCGCGAAACTACAAACATCACCAACTCCATCCAATTCTGTAGTGAAATTTCTCATAAAGTCCACAATGTCCAAACCTCTACGGGGCATATAGAAGATCATGATTAGGGGTACTAGGATGGGAGAGAGGATTTCTTCAATTGCACCGACCGCTCTGAATTGAAAGAGTTGCGAGAATTCTGAGCGTACTTTGTGAGCGTGGGGGTTATCCTTCCAACTATCAGGCATGTAGTGGATCTTTGCCAGAGTGGCGAGAAGGGAGGCTCGAGGAAAGTGGACAGCGTCCTCCGTAGGGCTGAAATTGACGCATATGTTAGCGATCAGACCACCAACTGCCATTGCAGCCAAATAACCAGTGAGATGAATTAAACCCTCCCTACAAAGACTGATCACGAAAAGGAGAATCGAGAGACCACCAAGCGTGAAGGCCAAATGTGATGCCACAACGCTCAAGAAGCGAGACTGGAAACAATCCAGATAGTCTGTTGCTGGTTTGTAGGCTTGGTTTAAGCGCGTGTCAAATTCGTGCGGAAGCTCGTTGAAATGGCGCAGATATAAACGAGCATAATTGGACCAGCTTCTATAGAAAAGCTGTGCTGGTTGGTAACGCAATCTCTGGGCGTTGGAAAAGAGGAATAGGAGGATCTGTATAAGAAAGACAAGGGGGCTTAGAAGGAGGCCAATGAGACCAATTATGCGGGAGTGTTTGGCCATTTCAGCAGCAAGTTCGAGCCGCCGTGTAAGGAACTTGTACTCAGGACGCAACTGTGAGTAGGAAGCGAAAGGAGACTTTGGTCCCCAAAAGAGAAGAAATTTGAGATTGAGAAGATAGTAGTGTGGTAGGTAGATATAAGGGTTGGAGGTCAGAGGCAGATGAAATCGAAAGGGAATAACTTCACGGTTGACCATACCAATGAGGTAGTTGGTCTGGCGGAGAATGCGATTGTAAACATCGAGTTCGTCCAAGACCTTGGTATGACAAACGGGCATTTGGGATTGTACAGAAAGGAGGCGTCGCAAAACCTCGCTCCAGGTTAAGTCATTCAGCTTGGAGTCACTCGTAGGCATGTCCAGAGCTATGGTGCAGAAGCGTCGGACACCCCACATCTGGGCCAAGGCTATAACCGAGTGGATCTAAAATTTACACAACCATTTATGGTTACGTCATGCTAGTGAGGTTAAATTCAACCTATAATTTGAAGGGAATTGTTTTCCTTAATAATGCGAAAAAATTAAAGATTTACATTATATATACCACTTTTTCAGCAAAATAACAAGAGACCTTTCCGATTTTACCCTATGTTTACACCGTGCCACTAATAATGGCCTGAGAAACATTTTATTAACCATCTATCATTGAGAATAGATCGTTTCATGGATTCGTTTTACTTCCATAAATGGAAATTTCGATATTTAAAGAAGGGGACAAAAACAAATTCTAAAGTTCACATAATGACATCGCGTGTTGAAGAGTTTTAAAACTTAAAGATCAAATAAGATGCTGGCCAACACCAACTTGCCAATCAACTGGGTATTCCTTCGATAATGCATGGATGATTTTTTTACAAAACCGGATGAATTGTAGAACCAAAGGAATTCTGCAAAAAGCATGAATGGGAGACATTTAGAAGCAATACCTTAGTAGTGCCCAACTTTAAATATTGCTCGCGTTATAGCGGCATCAAAGGTTAGTAATTTTCTACACAGTAAATGAAACGAGAATATACACATTAAGGAAATCCTTTCAAGTATGGGTAAAAACCTTGGATCGGACGCTTGTTTACGTTCAAATAGCATCAAAGTCTTTAACAAGACCCACTCAATACAACGTAGATACACCCAAGAGAGGGGATTCGCCTTGGCCATTGCACCTCAAGTGCAATTCACCCCAAAGGCGCGAATAAAAATACTATCCAAAGAGTAAAACAATGCTTTCGGTGCTTTGGATAAAGTGACAGTATAACACAATTGACAGGAGACCAAGAAGCATGGAAACAAATGTCCGAAGGAAAGAGAAGGAATTTACCAAATGATAGATGAAAACGAGGATAGCAAGAAAGAGACAGAGCGCGGCAAATGGCGGCAACGAAGCCCAACACACTGCAGGTGGAACTGCAATGTCATCCCAAGTGTTGATAGATGTTCTGGGATCCAACACCTTGCCCCACTTCATACATGCCGCCAGCTCCATACAGCAAAAAAAGAGGAACACGAACTTCAACGCAGAGAGTATGTAGTTGGTTGTTATCACCTATAATGAAAAGTGATAACGAATACCTAGTGATAAGTCACCAAGTAATGACGGTCACATTAGACCTTTCTCCTTTGGAAAAATCGTGCAAGTGACATGCATAATGAACTCCCGAAATATAGAAAAAGTATCTGTTTGGAATGAAGCTTCGCATTTCAAAGCTGCCAATGCACTTAAGTGCATAAATTCTGCACCTTATATGTGAACAAGTGTTTTCATTTGAAAACGAGAGACTACTATGGTGCCCTCGATTAGGAAGTCTAAAATAAACAAACGAACAACAGACAACTATTTTGCGCTGCAAACGTCTAGAAAGCCACAAAAATCATAAGCGAGAAAAACTGTACGTAGAATGCAGAATGAGGGGAATTTAAGCTTCCGGGTTGCGTAAAGAAGCTTGCAACGAAAACGCGTCCAGAATTTTTAGATACGACAGATAACTGTAGCTGATTGAGATTCTTTGGAGATATAACGTGAAATTGAGTAGGCGTAAGAACGATGCTAGTGGAAACTTACAGCAAACCCACCAAGTTGGTGATACTCATAGATTTGGGAAAAGAAGAGATCCAAGTTATGCGTCGAATCCAGCTGAAGGGGTACCAGTGGGAGACGTTCAATATCTTCCGCATTGTACGGCACCTCCTCATCTTGTATTATTTCATACTGCGCCCGATCCATTTGACCGTACGATCCGACAGGAAGGTCTCAAATTGATCAGGGCGGCGGAAGTTTAGCCGCTTACAAATCATGCTAGTAAGAGTAATTTGAACTTCCCAAAAATAAAATTAAACTTAAAAACATAAAAATTAGAATATTTAAAAGCGCAATATAGTTCTTAATCAAAATCGATTTACTGTTGATCATAATTTTTTTCAAAATGGAAACCACAAAAACTTGAGGATTGCAAACGTGTAAAAGACCTGGAGTTTATTCTGCACCTCCTGTTTCCCAAACATTGGTCTAATAGGCGCACGAGCAGTGCGCAATCCTCTTTGTTAGGGGGAGACAAATGAAGGCTTCCACCCCGAGTTTTGAGCCATATTTTGCCACAACTATGTAATCTATATTCATTGCTTTAATTTTACTTTGTAAAAAGCTTTGAAACGTAGTCTTGAGACTTTGCCTCGGATTAGCTTTGATACCCTAGGCGTACTTCTATCTCTATTGATTTTTACCGCATAAGGGTGCCTAATAGGCTCTTGCTGAACTCTCCTTTTTTTAGAAGAGGAGAAAGGCGTGACAAGCTCAGTTATTCACCCTGTAAATTTACTAATAACTGCTCTGAAGGGTTAATGAGCATCCACGAAAGTGAAGGAAGGGACTTAAAATAACACCAAAACAAATTAACTTATGCGCCGCATTTTGTGTCGGTGCATTTAAGTTGTAAAATTCATTGCCTGTTGTCGCATTGTATTTCCTCAGTCGTTGGAAGCAGAAGCGTTTAAAGAGAATATCTGACGATAGTTAACTGACTGCTTTACTTTATCCGGAACGGAGTACATATTTTCGGTATACAGAATGGATAAAGGCCACTTGTTTAAGCCTAGAAACTAGCCAGTTCGTCAAAGTGCAAAATAGCCTACCAGACGCTTATAGTCGGAGTTGACAACTAAATAGTAGCGAAGATTGGCACTGCTGTTGTTGCTGCTTACCCAAATCTGTAGTTAAAATCAATGAACAATACCTAAGAGGCTCGAGACTTTCCATTAGTTAGTAGGAGAATGATCTATTCGAAAGGAAAGAGATGAAACGTTGGCATGTCCTAAAGGCGATTCCAGTCACCAGATACAACATAACTGCCAAATTGGGCGATGTCCCCGCCGATCTTCTTAATGAGCCTCTAATTTAACAATTAGAAAGTAACCGGTGTTGCAAGAAACCCCACGAGTCAGCCTCTTCAGTAACCAACTCGGAGATGAGCGGGGAATACTTGAACTAAGCGTCACTGATCCGTCTCAGCAGCTCCGACTGGATCTGGCCATCTGGTTTAGATATTGAAATACTGGTCTAAGACTGATTGGAATGAAGAAGGTTCTATGCAATTTTTCATTGCTAAGCTTTATGTCCAATTGTGACGCCAAGGAATTTCAAAACGAAAACTTATAAAGTAAATCACGGTAGGTGTTATTCGTCATTATCCTCCCAGTGGAACACAGGGGTAAGGTAGATAACGGGGGGGAGACGTAACTCCCAGCCCACCAGTTGTGTAGAGGTTAGGCATTCGCTATCTGAAGTAATGTGCACTTCATTTGCACCACAACGTTTGTTGAAAGCGGTAAGAACTAGAGTAGAACTTGCAGTAAAGTTGAGTTAGCTTTCTGCTACCAGCGGTGTAGAGTGCCCAGACTTCCCTCCGAATGAAAAAAGAAATGGAACTTAGCAGATTTTTGCATTTGGACAGAACGAAACCAGATTTTTTTTGGTTTAACCAAAGGGTTAGCCCACCAGCCAGAAGCAAGGTGGTCTCTTAAGCGATCGCCGCTCGTATGGGTAGTCTAACAAGCAAGGCTTCACGAATAGTACGGTGGGAAGGGCTAAGTTATTCCTTCCCTAGTAGTTAGGTAGAGATTACTTAGCAGTTTTTTTTTGAGTTAATAGCTAGTCAATAATGCAAAAATACCGAAGTCTGCAGTGTAAAGGTGGGCGTAGCCAAAATGACTCATTTGACATTTTGTCAGAACACATTTTGTGGTTGGAAAATCAAACCTCGACTGCAGTGAGATACTATTCATTTGAAGCATTTGATTGTGTGATCATGCTTACTTCAATTAAATTAAGCACTTTAGTATGTATTGTCGACCATTTTTTTGGCTTATGCATCACTCGCATAGCTAATCCTTTGATTTACTTCAACAACAAGTTGCACCAAGAAGAGGTTTAGGCAGTTAGGTCTTCAATACACTGCACAGGAATTTTTTCACTCATCGAATATCTTTTTCAAGGTCCGTTTTTATAAGTTGGACTGCATCCCTCAATTATGGCGGATTGAGATGTAAAAGGAGAAGGTAGTGCTATCTGTCTTCCTCAGCCTTCATTAATACTGGCCAACACCATCCTAAGTTCGCGCATGACATCGAAGACCCAACTCATTTTGCAAAAGCTAGAGCACATTGTATTAGATGCTCACGATTCCCTTAACGCATTTCACAGTTTGTAAGAGGTGGCTGATCGAGAATCTAATGTGTAAATTTTGTTTGGCGTCGTGAAATTGTCCCCTCAATTTTCATTTGTCCCGAGTGCAAAATGAGTTTTAGGTTACTCCGAGACAATAGCCTTGCTTGTCACACTATATAACAATAACTGGGGGTCGCTTACCCATTGCGGCTGTCCAGTTTGCAAATCGCTCATTGCCCGTGTCGTTCGTTGGCATTTTAACAAACGATATTTCAAATTAATTTAAGTACTACAATATTTTAAAGGGACAGTATTAGCTGGCAGAATTTGGGAAATAAAGTCAGAAAACAAAAGTGCTTAATGAAAAGGTTTAAAGTTTAATTTATAACTTAATCATGTTCTCTTCAGGAGCCTACAAAAAATGCAAATCAACTAGTTGAGTCAAAAAAACTGTGGTGGTCACGGCGATCAACCATGAGATGCGCACCTGTTGTGAACAGATCCAGTCGGTGAAACTTATTTTCAGACTTGCATTCAGTCACTTGTGCTTGGTTTGCAGTCGGTGACAATTCTCTTATGGTTGCGGTAAATTGGCTTGAAAGCAGCAATTTGGGGTTGGGTAAGACATGATGCAAGAATGGTTGGATGGATATTTTGTTGGCACGACTTGCAATTAAAAATTCATTAACCTACTGCCTGAATACAAGCTAATGAGCATCACGTAAACAAGGAGTCTCGCATATTAATAAACGGAGGGAGACAGTAACTGTCTCCCGGCCTTGAACTGGTTGAAACACGGGACACATCTTAACTTCTCATTTTTACCGCAACACTCTACAGTTGTCAAAGCGGAAAGTACAGAATTAAAAAATTGTCTCACCCGAATCGGAAAGTTACACTTTAATGTCCGGAGTTGAATGTAAAGTTGGTGGTGTTTTATCTATTAACGTCCCATGTTGCATTACAGGACCCTCCTTACTCCCGCACACGACAGTTACAACACCCTTTCGTTAAATTATAAAATTGAACAGTTGGGTAAGCAGATCGAAGACTTGATTGAACAATCTAAACTTATGAAAAAATTCCTCCGAGTCTGTTGCATTCTCTAGACTTTAGTCTGTAAAGCAGTTGCCACTTGTGTGTGCGTGTTATGGAGAATCCGTGGTGAGAACAAACGCCACACCTTTCATCTCGACGGTTACAACTGCCAATGAATTGAGAATTCACATTGCATCACCAATGGCGCCAACCCGTCAGAACAGGCTACAAAAATAAGGATATTGGCATCATCTGCAGTAAGCCATCGGTCTTCTCTTAGACTGTGCGTTTCCCTTGCATATGGCTCTACTATCTTCTGCTCAAGCAATGGTTTGCCACTTTATCATATCAAGAAACTTCGCTACAGACGACTTCGGCGCTTCTGCAGTCACACAGCTCCACCTTTGCTGCCCATTGGCATTAATAAAGGCAACGAAAGGAATTGTTCTTAAGCCTGTGGTAAATAACAGTTAATCCTGACTTTTAGGATGATATGTCCATTTGCTTAAATGAATTGAAAATAGCCACCTTTTATGCTAACGACAAACCCTTCTTTCCATGCATTTTGATTTACGTCAGCGCATCGCTAGTGTTGCTCGCACGAAAAAACCTAAATGAAGTTATGACGAGAACAAAATTTCTTAAATTGATGCAAACTACACATATTTAAAAAATGTTGATCCTGTCTTGAGGAGCAATGCACAAAGTGATGCGACGCATTTATGGAGACTGTTAATGGATCCACTGCGTCAGATAAAGTACATCAAGCGTTCCTCTTTTCCATTTAGTCGACCACCTTCGAAAGGCCTATTTTAATGCAGGATGAGCGCTGCAATCACTTCTACTCCTTTTCTGGATGAATAATAGTCATTTGAAAAGTTGCTGCGGCATCAAAGGCATGCCTGGAAAGAGACGTGCAAAGACGTTCGGATGAATGGCTTTAAGAAAGCGGCAGTGTATTCGCGATTCCCCTGTAGAAGGGAATTCTGAGCACACATTCAAAACCTGGCTCATATGGTTTTATGAAATCTTTAAAATTTTAAAGTGGCTAGGTTTAATGATTCGCTTTGTGTGAAAAGCATTTCATTCTTTGCAGAATTTTGTAATGCTGATCGCTCCTCCCACAATTTCTGCACAAGAAGCAGAATAGTAAATAAGATTGCAACTTGGCTCCCCGTTTCTGCTAATGATGCTTAAAATGATTTTGTCCAAAATTATGAAAGGTTAGGAACTTGTGTTGTACGGAAGGGTGGCCAGCTAAGTCCTAGTAGCGCTGTTTAGTGGCAATTTGATTTACTCACTATGAAAACTACCCTTCATCCTGTCATCGAAGGTGAATAAATTATGGTTTTATACAATAATTAGTAATCTGAAGGTGCAAGGAATCCAATGCTGTGAAAGAAGGGTAGGCAAATGTTGGTGTAGTTTGCATCGGTCTCATGAAATTAATGATGAAGGTAATGCTGCAGAAGGAGCCCAGGCTCTGGTGGGTCACAACCCCACCACCTACGTGAGAAGCAGAAAAT